GCTTCCTTAGACGAATCGCTGGCCTTACGTGTCTCGAGATAGTTCGGCGTATAGAAATCCGGGAGAGCCTTGATGCAGAGCCTCTGCTTCTCCAGATTGAGGAGTCACAGCTGCGATGTGCTGCGAGTGCCTTCAAAAAGGAAGGCTTAACAACTGCTTGCACAACCGACCAGCAGACGGCGAAGATTAACCTGGTGCAAATATATGGAAGTTGTCTGTTCCAGACTCCAGTTGTCTTTTGCCGAAGTTCAGACTCTGGCAGAACATCGGGAACGTTGGAAACTGTCTGCGGCGTCTGCCTCCACGATACGAAAGGAGAAGCAGCCATGGAGCATGAATGAACTACTCAGTTTGTTATTCTACTTTTGTAAGTTCGCTCTTGAGGCGTCTATGTACTGATAAGATGCAAAAAACGGCCTACCTCGAATTTGTTAGAGTTCATGCGTGAACTGGATCTTCCTGTGCATTTGCTAAGGTATTTCCGTTGCCTCCGTGTTACCATAAGAGGAATTCAAAATACCAGAACTTGTTGGTATACCTCTTGACCGTAGATGTTCATAATGTTTACATCACATGGGAAAAGTTATGAACAAAAGTCTTTCATGATGTCAATGTAATAACATGGTTAACGTTGGCTAGTTGTGCAACTGTTGATGCTTTCTCTCAACTCTTTTGCAACAACACAGCAGTCCTATTTTGTACCGGTTTGCCGATAAATCTAGCAATATTTTCCTACTGCAGACCTGTTCGTCACTACCATCGTAACGCAGTAATTATAGAATATTGCCAAACCTGAAACAATTTCACTATCTCCACGGAACGAAAATTTTTGTTGCCGAGCGAACGTACGAAAACAACAGATTCTGTATTTTGATTGTTACAGTAACATTTTACCACACAATGAACAAAATTAAACGAGGGCAAGTCAAAAGCGACACAGTTACATTCTAGCTCTTCTTGATTTTGTCCAGTTCCATGTTCATCGTACTAAGGATTTCTATCAAAGGACATAAAAAGGTGCCCAGTTTTATGCACATATTTTTTATGTAAACAGAGGAATTGTGGATAAGGCATAGGCGGCTACATTTCTCTTTAAGCGACAGCTGGGTGAAGGCTATTTCGTACATCTTCGACTCTTCTTCGGAGATCAATTCGCTTAAACGAACGATGGTCGAAATAGTCATCTGATCCATTTTGGGAACCTCTCTTGGGGTAATGTAAACCGGCACCGTCACATGACCACTGTTTCTAGACTAAATCAGAGGAGTTATTCAGAGTTTCTATCTTCATAACAAAGAAAGAAATACTTGAAATCCGATATACTGTATCCGTGCTGCCCCCGTCGATTCGTCGGAGTTGTAAACGCTGAAGATTAAACCGAGCCACATCGGTTCCAACTGTTGGTAGCAGGCTTGCGTTCTGACGTCGGTGCTGGACGGAAAGACTGTGATGTGCGGGTGGCTGTGGTACCAACCGACTATGGTCAGGGGTAGTTTCGATGCTAGGCTGCTTTCGCGCTTTTGAAGGTCCGCGCTCAGTTTCTCTGTGTAGCTCATGGCAGCAGACAACTCTTCAGATGAAATTTCGACCCTGTCCTTACGCTTGTCCAGTCGCAAGCACGGAATGACATTGATAATATGGCAGTATCCTAAATTAGCAATTAAAATCAATAATAAAGTAGAAAACCTTAGATAATATAAAGTGACCATCTTTAGGTACTCAAAAGGTCCTAAGAGCAAGAATCAACGCTAAAATATTATAGCAACCTGAGTAGTGAAACCCTGCATTTAGACAGGCATTCTTCGAACTGAAACGGAAACTGTCTGCATGTTGATTCGAAGAATGACATGATTATATTGGAACTCAGCATGATTTTCAGAAATTATTAGTGAAGTTAGCCAAGAGAAGACGGAATTACCACAGACAAGCGATGGACATCAATTACAATCTTGACTAGAAGCGCTTACTCAGTCATCCAAAAAATGCTGGGACGATTCGATGATGAAACTGCTTGATTAGTGAAAGAGGCATATATAGCATACCAAGAATAGACTAGGAACATCGAGTTTTGTTCCTAGTCCTACTCTATCAATAATGTGGACAAGTCGAATAATCGATCAGCGAAGCCCTTTAGAAGTACGAGGCTATGGTGCATTCCGACCATGACTGACCCACGACGCCAAATGGTATCGTCAGTGTATTGGAAACAATGAACAACTACGATACACTTTCCCAGTAGCTCAGTCTGTCATAAGTTTAACTAACGCCTCTGCAGATACCTGTGAACTGTAGCACTCAGACGGAAGTCGGATGAATGTGCGACCCAAATCCTATGTTGAGAACGATGGCCAAACGTTTTATGTAGTTCTTGACATCAAAAAGCTTGGTGTAATTAACAAAGCATTAAGACAATGACTGGGCAAATTTCTGAACTTTTTTTTATAATCACTCGGGCACGCGTGATATACTTCCTTGCGCTTTTCGTGAATCTGAATCTGTCCGATCGTTTAAGAAAACAGCACTCTCTGTTTTATACATTTTTACAAAACCTGTTGGCAGAAAACCTATCAGTGTGAGGCATCAAATATATCGTAATATCGTGCACGTGTGTGGTTCATTCATCAGTTTTAAGATCTCTATTCCTTTCAGGTCGTAATAGAACCTGCTTTATAATGCTTTTCTAATGGTTTCGGTGTTCACAGCCCATCGAAAAAGCTCTATGGGTATGATTCCAAAATGTGACAATGGCAGATTCACCGTTTATCTGACTCTCATCTACTCCGTCCTTTAGGCGGCTTTGGGAAAGTCTGCTAAACACACCACATTTTCACTGAATGCTCAGAGTAGCTCAACTATGGCCTCCTTTATCTGGTAAAGGAATGGCATACAAGTGAAGTGAAGATACTCAGACTGCCGCGTTTCAAACCTTGTCCAGTAGCGTCACACCACCATTCCCTTAAAGAAAACTGTTTTGTCGCCTGCAATTTTTCTATCAATGTTCGGCAATGACAACATATGAGAACAAGCGCGTATATATAGAGCTGAAGTCAGACAATGTCGCACCATGGATCGGCTCCTCTTTCGTCATCACAGACCGGAATAATTCCCATATTAAAGCACCTACCTTGCTGACCTGTGTCAGTTTTTACGTCCTGTCTACCATTACTCGTGAATGATACCCTGAAATACTCGTGCTTCTGTGCCTGATCGAAATACATTAAAATGCAAAAGTTCAGGTTCTTGTTAGACAAATTTTCCTTTAGTATCATCATTTTCCTTTCGCAATTACAACATCAGCGGACTATGGCCATCAACACGTGAGGAAACGAACAATACATCATCAGTAAATAAAGCATGACACGTTCAGCGCGACGTTCTCCGTGTCCAGGTTGCATACGGAACAAAAAAAGATATCCGCTCTTGGTAGAGGCAAGCAAACACGTTAAAAGGGCATATTATTCCTGCCATTAATATGGTCATAGACCTAGGAGCAACCGTATAAAAATCTTGTATTCCACTAGCATTCCATTCTATATTCCCGCAGCATTCTCAATAGCGTCGATGGGGCACCTTTATCCATGAAATAGAAAAATGTTCCTTCGCATATTCACAGGAATTTTCACAGACACATGAAGAGAAAAGAAATAATCCAAGTAAAAATTACAGATATACATGAATGATTTAACAAATTGCAAATAAGGGATTTTGGAAACATATGGGTACAATCATACATCTCGCTGGCATAACTTAGTCTGATAGCAAAGGTTTCTGCAGAAGTTTTCCTCAAATTATTTACTGCCAGTATGTAAGTTTTTTCTAGCAGCGCGGAACAACGACGAGGGTGCAGTGGCCAACATCGCTTAAAGAAAATTTATTTGCTCATGAGTCGTCCAGCGGTAGCGAACACATTAAAAACATTAATGAATTACCAAAAACCAACATATAAACAACAACAGTGTACCAAAAAGGTTGTGATGTTGCTGAGGCAACGTAAGACTAACCTTTGTCCTTCTCCGTGTAACCGACCAAAAGACCCATGACTTCTTCACCTTCTGTAGATGTGGCCTGCAGCAAGCAGACGAGGTACGCATCAGAGGAAAGAAAAACCCGTTGAACAGCAGACATACCTGAAAACGTCTTACCACCGTGACAATTAAACGATATCAGTCGAATACTAGTAAAAAATATAGGAACATGGACCGATAAATTAAAAAACAAAAGATGCTGCGAAACAACGCACTTCAAAAGTTTACTAATTGAGAAAAGTCGTTACGGAAAAACACGTCGATCTTCAGACGCAACGACAGACAAATAAAGCAAAAACTTTCAAAATCAAAGCATGCAAAACACTGTGCCCAATATAGTAGTCGAATAAACAGTGTGTACATCAATCATAAAACACAATATTTCAGAAGAAACAAACAATTATGCAAAAGATACATAATACAATATCGCGACCTGAGGTGAGAGGGGTCGCTTTTCAAAGCTGTACATAAATAGTGAGATTCGGAAGGAGTTCGTCGTAGAACACGAACACCGCAGTGAGCAAATATATCCGACCAGTCGACTACTGACTGTGGAACGCGTCTGTAGAAGGAATTCGACGACCGAATGCGATCAACAGGTAACAATAAACAAAGAACTTAATTCATGCAACATACATGATCACAGCACAAACACGGACAAAATTATCAGAAACAAACCACGTCAACAAAAACAAAACCTACTATACATACATAGTAACTTCAAGTCAAACGTGTAAAGGATGAACGATAAAACTGGTCAAATCGTCACCGAGGGGATAAAATTAGAAATCGAACGAAATATCGTCGTTTCGCCATCAGGTACAAGACAGCAGCAGAGCTTGGCCGGCATAGGTTATTGCTATGGTGGCGGGACACTGACTCCATGGCTCGCCGTCGACCTGCATTGGCAAAGTATTGTTTTTGATCATCAGTTCAACACGTTTTGCTTGACCCAGTCGTAAAGGTTCCGAAAGACCAACCTGAAAATCAACAGTCAAGCCAATTACAAAAGAAACGCTTTAAGGATGCCCATGCCATTGGCATCCTCAAAAAGTTAATTACGATAAATGATGAAAGACAACTACGTAGATGAATGTTATGAATCTGCTTTGCTGCTCGTTACAAAAAAAATCAACATGCGTCTTTTGAAAAAGCAATGGATGATCCTTCACGGGGGTGGACACATTCACAATTTTAACAGAGTATAATCTGTCTGCTGGTGCTGACAGGAAACGCTGAGTCATAAAGAATGAAGTGAAACGGTGTAAGATTCGACACCTCGTCTTTCTAACGTATCAAGAGACTCCACTATAGAAAATATCGCGAAGCATGAGCTTCATGTAGTTGTTAAAAAGCATCGCGGATTATACTATATATGAGAAGAACATAACCACCATCATTACATTTTATTAAACTTGCCGGTCGGTTTTCGATTACTCTTTCACCCAAAGACCTTGTAAATTAAGAAACTGACCGTGAGTGAGAATAAAAACAGCCTGAACATAAGTGTTTTAATGAAACAGACGGCGGGAAAATTCTAACTCATTTCAGATCAAAGGACTGTGTGAGTTGTAAAGCTCAGTGTATAATGATTTGAGTAAAACACAGTAACGAACTCCCCATTAAAGTAAACCGGACTAACGGGCTCACGTGTTATGCAGGTTCATTTTAAAATGACTAGTAAGAGAAAACCATGTTGGAATTCACAAAGGTTGAAATGGTGATTCAAACTATATTTATATCTGTATATAAATCCACAGTCATTTTTTACTCTTTGAGTAACTCATTTTTGACACAGAAAGTGGACAAAGATCAAAATTCTGACTAGTTAAACGTCAAAAGTAAATTCGAACCTGCATCTGTGCAATGTGGAACGATGAATACAAAGCGAACACCTCTAAGACACCGTCGTCGATCGCCTGTGCCGGAAATGGCATCAACCCTTCACCAGCAGAACCCATCTGCCAAGGACGAACGCCGGCACCCCAAAACGGGATGTTCAGTACGACTATACCTTCGATTTGCGAGAGCGAAATCAGCCGGTCATCCAACCGGACCTCCACGAAGTCCTGCAGATTGCGACAAGCGCGTTCAAGCACATCCTTCGTACCGTACGTGAAAAACAACAATTTGTTGATAAAACGCCCAGACATGACGCGAGGCAGGTGTTTTCGACGATGGTGGAAGTTCAGTGTTACCAGAGCGTCTACACCAACCGACAAGTAGTTGTTCATCTTGAAATTCTGTTGTATCCATTTCATGCCTGAAGTTATTGATCACTGGCCATAAAGTAGTCGCTTAAAATGTGGTAACGTACCAAATCTGGAAATCAAAGTGATACGCACGTTCCAGCGGTCAAGCGACACCGGCTTTGAGTGCTTAATGGCCAATATCAAGCGTTTGACATCTATGTCACCGGCGCTGGCCGAACCCCAGCCTAAAACCCTACTCAGGTCATTGCCCGTACCCAGTGGTACAATCGCCAGCAATGGCTTTCGCTCGTTGGGTTGAAAAACCTGTTCGATCAACGTCAGTATCCAGCTAATCGTTCCGTCTCCACCCGCAGCCACAATTACAGCTTGGCAATCAGAAGGAACTGATCGCAAAGAACATATGTAATCGTTAAGAACGACTTCCGAAAAATCGAAAACCTAAAAAACAAAATCATTTTTCAATGCCATGAATGAAAAATGCTATAATAAATTTATATTGTAATTGTTTACTTGCTTATCATTAAAATTGTCTCAGTTTTTAGCAGTTGGCTCGACAGATAAAAATAAAAATATAATATGCACAGGAATATAGCCAATGTACACGTTACTAAAAATAATTCAAACAGTTGTTTTACACTCATGGTAAAAGCCACAGGAGATTTCTTGCAACCGCCGAAGAGTCGACGAGCGAGTGGTACCATTAACTTCCGATACCTTTTTGTTCGAGCAGGGATAAGGACTTAGTTTGACCGAGTGTCCAACAAGTCTTGCCTGATTGCGTACTAAGATACCGTATAATGGAAGAATTTTCCATCCAAGAGTTTTGCTACCATTACCCGCTTTATTATTTTGTCACTTGCTCTTTCATGTCGATGCCACTGGTTAGAGAAAGTGTAGCGGTACAGTAGAACAACGTCGTGCTTGTGAAGCGCTGGGAAGAATATCGGACCACCATATGTTGTTGCTGGGAGCACACAAGTGACTACAATATTTGCATAGTTTGAGACCTGCAGAAACTTACACAAAAATAGCACAGTATATGGGTCTTCCAGATCACCGCTTGCATGTATAGAACAGGACAGGGTGTTGCTGATGATGAGGCAGAGGCATTTCTGAGTCACAACGATTGGTGGTTGTGAGACAACTATAACTGTACGTTAAGCAGTCAGGGTTAATTAAGGATGACTTATGGGTAATCTGGAAAATGTTAATTCCATGCACTTCGATGCGCTGAGAACCAAACCGTCATATGCTACCTATGACGGTATCTTTTTAACTGTAAGACCATAAGCACGATGATCGGCAGCGACAGCGACCAGGCATAGTGACAGCTGTTTCATCTGCGTACTTTATGCAGGTGAATGATTTTCGCGTTGGGAGACTGTTTCAGTGAACGGTAAACAAATTTGGTGATAAGGCTGAACCGTGAAGAACTCCGGTGTCGCTGCTTCGAATAGATGATTTTTTGTCCATCGCTGTATACTGTACCCTACGGGAGAAATTTTCAGACAAACATCGCAGTATGAAAGAATTAAGTTGAAGAGAGGACAGTTCGCGCAGTAGGCCTGCTGCTGGAACACAGTTAAATGCGGGAACTGTAGTCGGCAGAAGGAAGCATATGAAACAACCCGTTTGATCGAGTTTTCTGCTCAAGAGATCAACAAGAGAGGTGCGAACGTCCAAACTGCAGCAAGTTATTTTTGCAACTTAACTGACAGGGATCATCGATGACAAAGAGAGCATTCCTTACGAAGGGTAAGAGCTACACTTCTGTTGTTTTCAGTAGTGTGGATGATATGGCGATGGGACGAAAGTCCTTTGGCCCCGCCAGATGCTGAGTTTTAAAGAATGGAAACTATTTTGGAGAATTTCCATGTCCGAAAAGCAGCTGTCTCAGAAACAGCGGTTAAACAGAGATGGACAGAGCTCTATCGGATAAAAGTTTAAACGACGAAACGACTTTTAGTCGGAAAAAGCATAGACAAACGTGATCGAGGTGAAAACAGTAACTGAAGCCACATTCGTCACTGGCGACATGCGGAATTTAAACGAATTGGGGTAGTCTATATTTTCTTTTAACAAAAAAGCAGTGTTGAGAGCTTCAGGGTCAAACGATGAAGTAGTCGCCAGGAGACCATACATTGTTAATGATCTTATACCGGCCCACACATCGTTAAGATGTAATGAGCGAAAGAACTATTGAGAATGCAAAAGATTCAGTCTATAGAGCTCACTTTTCATCAAACCATCAATCGTTCTGCATTGAGAATAATCATCCCCGTAGAGCGATCGTTCTAATTTTTCGGCGTAAATGTATGATGTATCGATTCAACCAGGATATTTTTTTGGGGAATAATTCTCATAAGAGGTTAAAATAAGATGATATGTAGATACATGTTCCGCAATGTCATCATCCTTGAAAATCAGTCAATCAGCGGAGGCAAAAGTGGGCGCATGCTGCTGATTTCGCAGTAGAGGTTCTGTGCATGCACTTACAGTGAATTCGAAAGGCCAATGCGGGTTTTCCAGAATTTGAGAATTTTGAGTACGCAGGAGTAATGTCGGAGTGATCGGAAATTCCAATTGGTGAGAAACATCTGGCAGAAAGTGAAGCTGGAGCATTTGTGAAAGCGAGATAAGACTAGTATCAACAAGTGTGGTGAAGCTGACTGGGTTTGGAAGAGGAAGAGTGTACCGTCAAGGGACGTCCTTGCAGTTAAAATCGCCTCAAATTAATATCAACATTTCGTTGTAAAACATTCTCCAGGTCATTAAAAAACGTTTGAAGACAAATGTTTAGTCTGACATAGCAGCAGGATGCCATCTTTTGCATATCTCCAGAGAATGCTATTGTCAGAGGAACATGTGCCAGTAATTAGGGTGAATACACTATGCTCACGTTGGTTCCATGTTGGCGAAATGTATCCCATAAGGTCGATTAAGGAATTATCGATACAAGAATGAAACTAGGATTCTTGTAACAGTAGCGCGCAAGTATTTTGTATTAGGCATTGGGAATGGCAGTTGGCCGATAGAACAAAAGGAACTGTCATTTCGGTTGTGGAGTGACATTTAAGTGCTACTTGCCATCCACTTCCTTGGTCTCTACATAGGAATAGGATGTTGCGAAAGAATCGATTTTGAAACGACAAATTTCGAGTTGTTGCATTTTTCAAGAGTGCCATCATTAACTTCGTTTGCTGCATCAGTCAAACATTGAGTGCAATAGCAAGACGATCCGGAGCTCAAGAGATCCATGCCGCAAGAAAAGTGAGAAATTAAAAATGCAATCAGGACTATAAGACGATTGATGATAACGATTCAGTTTTACAGTAAGAACAGAAAAATCTTAAAAGGATAAGACGGACTGGAGCAGGAAACCGTAACCAACAAAACCGTTTAAAATAACACAACTACGCAGCGGGGTAGAGGTAAAAACTGATCGCTCCAGCACAATACGTAATCGACAATCATTATATACTAAAACTTGGAAGCATGACTAGTTTAAATGGCCTTTTAGGCATAAAGGATAATTGAGACTCCACGTCATGCAATGCGGCATAATGGACATGTTTATCATTATCATCTTTTCCACTACTATCACTTATTATGACAAATTACAACTTATAACCCATCGTTATAATGAAAACTGGCCAAGCAACTTATAGTGCTATTGTAAGTAAAATATACACAAAAAATCAAGTACTGCAACTCGGACCTTACTTGCATCGGATTCAGAACTTTTCTGAAAGCCTGTAAAACCAAATCCCCATCGCCATTTCCACTTAATTTATTGGCGAAAACAAAAAGTGGATTCCAGGGTTCGATAGTGGCCGGTTTTGATATCTAATAAAAATAAAAAGCAAATAAAACATTAAATTTGAAAGGCATACCTCCGAAATTTCGACAGTATTCTGACGTTTCCAGGGACCATGCTTTAGTTTCAGGGAATCGGGTGGCACGATTGCACCTGCAAACTGACAACAAACATTGATTCGGCCGGTCAACAGAGAAAATACAAAAAAACGTTCAAAATAAAAATCTGAATGAACCAACTACACGAAACCTTTAGAACAGTTTTGATAAAACTTTTGCTGATGACCATTAACTTCACTCATATGCACTTGCATCACATCTCCATTTTGCCATGTGTGATGCATGCTCAGCTTTTGGTAAATTTTGTTATACCGCAGTGAATATCACAGCTTCGTACAGAGATCTCGCCGAAAGCAGATCTGTGTCGATTTCGCTCAGTCATGTTGTTGCTCCATGCCTGCCCAGTTTAACGTGTTTCAAAAGCAACGAAGAATGGCTTTTGCTGAATCAATTTACGGGGCTAAATTAACCTGATTGCCGCATCCCCATCTACCTTCTCACTCGAGGCACCTAAGACATGATAGGTCATTCATCGTAAGGTTGTCAAGTTCTTTGGTGTTTAAATTGAAAGAACTGAGAACTGAGAAGTCTATTTCAAGCTAGTTTCCGTAAGCTGAAAACTGTACATTATATAAGGAATCAATGATAGACAGTTGAAGCTGTTTATTAGCTCTACGTAAGATAAGTGACTATCGGAGATGGCAGGAAACCAACACCTGGATATGTCTCATACATTATCTGTGATTGTGAAAATGAGACAGAAAGGCCGGCATCTGACTGTCTACTGTAGCAGCCTGTTACTGTTGTGTTAATAGCCTCCTTTAACAGCATTTAGGCTATGGGAGACCAACAAACAAACATAAAAAATAACTTGATTTTATGCAGGTCGACGGTTTTTTAGGTGAGGATGCAGATGGAAAACGTCGGTCAGGTTAGAACGTGTCTTTCCTTATAAGGACCATTTTGTTCGACATTATGTCATCGTCAGTGTTATTTACACGATGTCAAGAGGCGGGAGATAGGCGGACACCGGAGTTTGTTTTTCATAATCCAAAAAATATTCGAGACATACCAAAGCGTTGGCATTCTGCTATTTCTGACTGAAGTCGCGTACCTGCGTTAGTGTTAATAAACAGCCTCAGCCCTCTTTAAGGAAACCTCACATATTATAAGGTTTTCAGTTTATGGAGAGCAGCTTCAGAAAGACCTAGTTCATTTTAAAGGCATGAATAAAAAACGATCTGATTCACTGTATACAGAGGAACGCTGGACATGCTTTAGACAGATAATATGAAGTTGCACTTCTTGATATCGAAAGACCAGTTATTCCGCTGGCACGTTACAGCATCAGGCCGAGTCGACTTGCGCCGGAACAGTGCAAAGCACCGAAAACATCTCACGGAACAGACTTGCTTGGCTTGAGAATTAAGAATTTTTCTACAACAATGAAAACATCCAATAAACATCTTCATCTTCTTCATCTTCCATCGCCGCTTCTCCTTTCGGGTCGCGGAGGCAGACGCGTCAGACAG